GAGCTATATTCAATAAACACTTTTGGATTATAGTCACAAAACATCTTAGAATTTTGTGAAAATATTTTTATTTTTTTACATATATAAAAATTATAAACAAAAAGTTATTTAATTTTAGTAATTATATCACCATCATTGTCAATTATTGCATGCAATCGTTTTGCATATCCAACAATGTAATTTTTTGCAATACTTTTGCATTTATCTGATTTCCATACTTGTGGAAAATAAAGATGTACATGCTTTTTTGGGTCCTCACTGTATGGGGGTTGATGAAAACATTGAATGGAAAAATATCGAAAAAAATGTAGAAAGCTTGAAAAGGTGCCTGTAGCACTTAAATAAAATCTGCCACGTTCTATATAAAAGGTTGTTCTATCGTGTTTTATTTTAATAAAACGCCTAGTCGTCCCTCTAAACTGAAAATACATTTCGTGTATTTACAAAATGCATGACAAAAAAATCTCTGATAAAATAAGTGTGTACGGTATCGAAAGTAAAATAAATGAATGGACAAAGCACATATCGACGAAGGAAAAATAACATCTTCAAAGATTGAAGGTCTTCGGCCTATAGGGGAAAGTTTTCTCGATTCAAGTTGATGTTCGAACATCGGTCCCGAAACAATCAGCAAATACAACAGCTTTTCAAAAAAGATTCGACGCACTTAATGACAGATTTTTGAATAGTGAAATCAATGTAAAACAATTATCGGCTAGATTATCATTACTCATCGGAAGACACAAAAAATGAGGTGATATTCATTACGTGTTATTATTCATTTTCTTTTTTTTAAATTTTTAATAAAAATTGCTATAATAAATAAATCGCCAATAACTATAATAAACTATCTTCTTTATTTACTTTCACAATAGAGAAATCTTTTCTCTTCAGTATTTTCATTTTCGGGGCTTGTCCAAGCGTGACGCTGTGACATTCTTGACACAGTAATTTGAGCTTATCTCACAAAGTGTTAGAGCTAGAAACTTCGTTCTTGCGCCATTCAACACGGCTCGCCATACTCTACTTTTGGTATAAAAATAAAGGTATGTGGTTAAAGACTCAAATTTTCAGAACCGTTTTTCGGCTCGTGATGCTGTGACAAAAAAAGGCCCTAAATTCAAAGTTCTTCTTATTAAAAGCTAATTTGCTGCTAATTTAGAAGAGCTAATAAAAAGCGCCTCAAGCAAAGTTTGTAGAGGAGTAAACGAGCTACTGATTGCTAAAAAAGAATCTTTCCAATGAGCCTTCCATCTCTCAATAGTTGTGTTTTAACAGCGTGACACTGTAACATTTTTCGTGACGCTGTGATACACTTTTTTCCCAACAAAGTTTGGAGCACTAAACATTGCTCAAAAAATTTCATTTTCACATCGGACTTAGTTTTAGACTTCTAATATAGACTAACGTGAAAATAAAGCTGAAAAATGTTTTCACTTTCTTAGAATTGTGTGAGAATTTTAAAACTTTATTAAAAAGCTTTTTTTAGTCTAAACTTCAAAAGAGACATACCATCTTGTAGAGAATCGAATCCTCTATCGATTAGTGTGGCCTTCCATTTTTGTTAGGAAAGGTGTCTAGGTGAGGAAATTGAAAATACAATTTTCAAAAAATGTAAAACTGGAGTTTTGATGCCAAAATTTAACTTTTTTAAAAAAATCATATGAGATTCATAATCAGCACCAAAAACTACATCTGGTGATATGCTCCTTTCAGTTCTACTTTAAAATAGTTTTTTCAAAAACTTGATCAGCGAAGTATCGAGTTACGTGGACAAGCCGTTCGATGTTCTCCTTTTTATATGTACAAATGAAATTTCACAATCAGAAATTGAATCTTATTTGTCGTTGTTACTGTAGATGTGGTAATATCATCATTACGTATCGCTATTATACCACTATCATTTTGAGATATATTTTAAAAAGAAAGTTAAAATTAATTTTTATTTAAATTTCTTCAGTATAGAAAAAACTGATACTAAAACAATGTACGCTAGTCAAAATTAACTGATCAACTTTATTCGTTTTAAGTTCAGGTAGTTGATTACACTAACCGCCTGTAATTATTCTATATTTTCAATTGACGAATAATACGACGAAAGTCAGTAGCAAGGGATGATTCCCAATGTTTTTCATTACCAATCACACTGACAAATAAAATTGTACCTTCGGGTAAAGATGTCTGCTTTCTATTTGCATCGGGGCAAAGGAATTTACATTTTGTTATTTAACTTCGAATAAATCGAAAAAAAAATTTAAAATGAAGAAATAAGGTAGTCTATGTAAGCCAGTAGTTAAATGTGAGCAAATAGAACTGGTGTTCACCTCTTCATATTTCATTTTAGTATGTGTGTTAAAAATAATTGAAAAACAAATTTTTTTTATCTGATTACAAGTGGTTGTTTGTTTTTCGCTTTTAAACAATGAAATGTTCAATAGTACAGACAGTGCCAGTCAATGAAACATACGATGTGCTAGAGTATTACTCAATCACATGCTCATTACTTGAATCACATATTCAAAAAAGGTAATTTTAGAAATCAATGATCAATAACTGACTCTAATTTAATATAAATTTTCTTTTTTTTGTAGAAATGATTTTCGAGAATCATAGTATCACAAGAGAATGGTACGAATTCGAAGATGCTTCAATATATAAATATGTTCATTCAGTGATTGTATACCAGAAACATCTATTCAAGACACAAAAGTGACAGATAAAATAAGTCGAGATATAAAAGATGATTCAAAAGATGTTATCAAACAACTTCAAGAGGATTTAACAAAAAAATGATAAAATCATTAGATTTAATACAAACAGCGTTCAGTGATGTAAGTAATTCATTTTTTAAAAAGAAAAAATTGTCTTTGATAAAATTCTATTTTTTAGTTGAAATATCGCCATCGTACACAAGATGAAAATACAAAACAACAACAAACAATTAGCAATTCACTAATTCAGATACTTTCATATAGCTGATAGGCTCGATATTGGTATACACCAATTCTTTTGATTTCTAATTTATAAAAACGACATCTTCGAAAGAGTGATGGATGACCCCCCCACAAATGTTATCGAAAGTGTATAATCGTTAGATCAACATCGCTGGAAGGTTTCATTTAGATCGAACTTACGGTTACCGAGTTTTTGATGGATAAATGCCTTAACAAAGCACTTGTGCTAATGTAGGTCGTTTAGAACATCTTAAACAATGGACGCCCCGACAGACATTTGAAAGAAAAAACGAAAGTAAGATTTTTCCAGTTTAATTAGGGATAACTATACTACGGTGAACGGTTCATTTATTTGTTCCAATTACCAAGGATCGTAGGAAAACATTTGGCAAAAATTTGGTCCGAATCTAGACCTCCTGGGTTATCTATTAGTGATATTTCAAAATAAGCGATGTTTTGTGAAAATATTAATTTATTCTTAAAAAGTATCAGAGATGACTAGGCAATGATAATTCTTCATGAAAAAATGATTTATGAGCAAAAAATTCTAATATTCATTTGCTATTTCTACTGTGTCATTGTGACACAGTAGAAATAGCAAGTGAATATTAGAATTTACGGGACGGGTTTTCAAAATCAATGGCATATTGATTAAAAGCATGATTTCATTCATAAAATTAGATAAGTATTAAAAGTTCATCTCGATGAAAACTTTTCTCATCTATTGATTTGTTGATTTTAGCTTTAGTAATCATCTTATTACTTTTAACAAGAGGTAAGTTTTATCTAAATAGATTTAGGACATTTGTTCGCGTGGACTGATGTTCGGTAGGACTGGTGCTCGCCAAAACAGATACTCATCAGGGACTTATAAAATTTATTTCAACGAATTAATATTTCTTATATTGAATAATTTTTCTACACTTGATGATTGTTCATAAACAATATAATTTTTGTGAAATATTGAAATGAGTATAAATTGCCAAGAACGTTTAGGCAAGGTAGCAGAATCTTACTTTCACCATTCAAAATGTCTATCACACATAAATATTAGAGAACAACTCGTGATACAGTTTTTCTACAAAGAGACATTTGTCCTAGGGAAGATCGCATATTCATTTTCAATATACATGAGCAACAAGAGATTTTGGAAAGTGCAACAGTAAGGACTACTTTTAGAAAGAAGTTATTTCTAAAGATTTCTTCAATTTACTCTTTTTTTAGCACATTTTCACTGATAGAATGAATATTCAAAGTTGTTCTCGAAATTTTTTTTTTCAATTATTCATTGTACATGCTGTTTATCGTAAACGAGTCGTGTTTGTTTTATTAGCGAATAATTTAACAAAAATATTCCAGAAAATGATCGATGAGATTATTGAATTTATACAGACATAAAATCCAGAACCATTAATGATGGATTTTGAAAAAGCCGCTATGAATACGTTTAGTAGTAATTTTCCAACAGTTAAGCTTAGTAGTTGTTAGAAAGATTAGTTAGTTTAAATAAATTTTATAAGTGCCCTGAAGAACATCTGTCCTGGCGAGTACCAGTTCTAACGAGCGTTGGTCCATGCGAACAAATGTTCGTTTCCCATCTAAATATATCAAGTTCGATAAGCAGAATAAAATAAAAATCGTCGATAGAATCAATCACTTTAAATGAGAAAGGAAAAAAAAAGAATCAAATGTTAAATGTTAAACAAGTTCGATGCCGGCAGTTTAAGAATAAAAACAGAATAAAAAAAAAAAGTTGATCAATTAACAGAAACAATATTTATTAGACAATACCATAACCATCCATCCAATAATGAAATAAACTGAGCAAGAAAGAAAAAATGTATTTGCTTTTTTGAATAAAAAATATGTGCACTCCTTTGTCTTTTATTTCTATGAGTAAAAACATATATACATATACAACATAAATTAACTAGAGGGCCATGACTACTAACGTTAATAAAAAGAACAAAATAAAACACACGTTTAAATCATAGTTTATTTCAATTAGTTATAGCAACTTCTACTCGTTCCTTTTCATAATTGATCATGTCGACACTAACACTCCCCTCTCCAGGGGATGTTCATCACCCTAAGAAAATTATGACATTACCAAAAATAGAACATCCATCAACAAAAATGAACACATTGGATCGAGCTAATCTCGATGTTCGTGGCAGTTCACGAGCACAAAATAGAGGTAATTCGATGGAACGAACGTCAAACGATTTCATCACTGGTCGACCATTAGCCAGTGAACTTGACTCTTATCCAGCGTCACCATCAAGACAACAGCAAAGAAATAAACGTCGAAATAGTTCCAGATCATTCAACGATGGGCGATCAAAACATCAATTAGCACCTTTGAATGACTATTCGAAAATACCTGAAAATGGACAATATGGAACAGATACAAACAAAGTGAGATTACCCGTATTTGGTATGTATTAAATAAATAATAATACTAAGAACGTAATATCAGAGATATCTGAGAGATTTCGAAAAAAATACTTCACTTAGATATATTTTTAGAGAGCCACCCGCTTTCAGTGGCAAATAAATCGATTTAATTGATGTTAGTATATACAGAAACTTTTTGGAACATAATAAGAACATGTGTGATTAGTGGTGAGATCCAGAGTTGTTTACTAGAAGTCCTAAAATTCGTACTATGTGCTGCTGTCTCTATATTTTTTCTAAATTGAAGAAAACAAATGATTTCGATAAAATATCTACTGTTTGAATGAGATAAGTGATTTTCAAACTTTTCTCGAATCATGCTTAACACTACTTTGTCAAAATTTTCGTATATAATCATCTACGTCTATTTAGACGGTGAACATTATGTCTTTATCTGAAACAGTTTACGGGTAGTAACAAAAACACTTATTCTATCCGTTTACTGTGAATTTTTTGTCAACTTTTCGTTGTCAATTTGTGAGAAACAATAAATACAATTTTTGTCTGTTTTGTATGATTTACTAACGCTACGTATAATTTAGCCGACAATTAGGGGTATGACAATTCCATATCAACTCCTATCATAGGAACTGTTGAAAAGCTCTTTCGAACGGAGCTGATATGTTTGAACAGTTCTGTTGAAAGGAGCTGATATGTTCGAGCAGCTCACTAGTCGTCTAGACAAAGTTTAAACGTCCCGAATGTCCATTAAACGTTCATATCAGCGAAGTTCTGCAATCATAAATAGAAGCATATAAAATGGTCAATTTTTTATTCCTCAGATAAGTATGGTTAAAAAGTAAAATAAAAGAAGTATGACCTTTGTAAGAAAAGCAGACTAAAGAAAAGATTAAAGTTTATCTTTTAGGAACGTTGAATATTTCAAGTTTTTAGCTGAGAGAGAAGACCGTGTTTTTCGAGCAACATAGCCTGCGATTGAGAATGCG